GGAGGAGGAGGAGGAGGAGGAGGAGGAGGAGCGGGGCTGTATAGGCCAGATGAAGAGCAAGGCATATTTGGAGATTTGGGATGATCCTGTGGGAAACTGCCGGTGGGAGGAGTATTAATAAGACGTGTTTAGCAGCGTCTGGAACGGTGGGTACACAGGAGACTTAGGGGAGCCGGGGGCGGTGGGGGGGGGGAGCGGGAATGCAGACCAATGTGAATATAGCCGTGTTAGATCCAGCGAGAGAGAACCAACCAGAGACCGATATTAAATCCACACAGGAGTTTATTACCGGCCGGGACCAGAGCCAAGCATCGGACTTGAGCCCTGACTGGGGGGAGACAAACATGTTTTATACACCTTTGAGGCCAACAGTTTCTAGGCCCCGTTATGGGATAGAACTAGCAAAGCAAAAGGTGCAGAAGCAGCGGAACGTCCTGCTGTTAGAACATTTGTAAAACAATAGTTGATTATTATTTCTAAAGAGACCTTTTAAGGGGAGGAGGTTTCTAAGCTTCCTCCTTCTGAGTTTATCTAAAGGACAGGCAGGTGGGTCAAGCAGCAATATGGAGTTTGTCTTGCTAACTAGGGTCCTTCAGCCATGTGAATGTGACAGCTCTTCTAAGAAAGCATAAAATTATTTAAAAAATGTATTAAGATCCCAATTGAGAAGGTTTAAACACCAACAAACAGGCCATTTTCTTGTCAGCCACCATGAGTGACCTGCCCTAAGGAAGGGCAGTTTGGCCTTAGAGGACAGGACAGAGGCCATGGGAAGGCATGGAGGCTTTTCTAGACACATTGTGAGCAGAGGCTGAAACTTGGATCTGCAGCCCTAGCCAGAGCTTGCAGCCAATGAGATCTGGGAGTTCATCTGTTGTTGCTGGGTGTGGGGTGATAATGTTGATGATGAGCACCATGGGGCTGGCACTGTGGGAATCCAGGAAGCTTCTGGAGTAAAACACACAGACATGGCATCACCCCGACAACTCCTCTACATCCTGTCTTCGTGCTGACTCCAGTTCAGAGTCCTTCAGCTAGTGATGGTTTTCATTTCTTTTCCATCCAAAGGATCCTTCACAGGGCAATGTCGCACATCTTCTCCAAGGATTCAGCCTCCCAGAGCCCACAGTAAGCCCTAGGTCCACTCAGCTCACAGCTCTCACTAGTCATTTTTCTACCTAAATTCTCTTTTTCTGTCTTATACAATGTGCCAGCCCTGGCCCTCTACTCCAAGAAACCTGTGTGTCCTTCAAATGCTGCTCTTCTAGGGCTCCTTGTCCATCCCAACTGCTGTGTTTTTATCTTAAAATTCCCCTTCACTGAGAGAAGCATTTAGTTTCACATTCTTTTTTAAAATTCTGCCAAAATCAATGAGTAAAATAGTCTCTGCTGTTGAGAAAAGCACAATAGAGCCTGATAAGAACAATCTTTAGTGAAAAATCTACCGTGGTATAGAGTGCTGTAAAAGAGCTCTCAGCCTCCAACGGCAGCACAGGAGAAAGAACAATCAAAGAATAAAAAAATCCTTTGCAAGTGGAAACTCAATTCAACTTGCCAAAGATTAAAACTAGACCTATATCTCTCACCATGCACTAAACTAAAATCGAAATGGATTAAAGATCTAAATATTAAAACAGAAACGCTGAACCGGCTGGAACAGAGGTTAGGTAGAACTCTTGAAGACACTGATGT